CACACACACACACACACACAAAAGAAAGAAAGCCAGACGTGCATTACTAAATCAAGTAATATGAAACTCTTAAACAAATAAAATTAAAATTTAACGGCAAATTGAAACTCGAAACTGAAGCTCTATTCCTTTCGTATGACATATGTGTATACTTTATTGATATAGTTACAATACTAGCTATATCCCTTTTAGTTGCTTTGGCAAGATAAGTGTTTCTGAGTTTGGCAGCTTTCGTTAATCGATTTTTTTGGGGGGGATTTCTTAAGGTTATTTATTGATATTGAGTAAGTTCTTATTTTTGTAAAGCGTTTTAGAGCCTTGGGAAGGGCACTAAAGAAACAACAGGCTATTAATTATTATTAAAATGATTAAAATGATTATAATGAAAAACGAAAGAAAGAAAAATGAAAATAATAATAAATGGTAATAGTAGAAATGAAAGAAAGTATTGAGACGATAAAAGACGAAAAAAAAAAAAAAAAAAAAAAAAAAAAAAAAAAAAAAACGATAACAACAACAGCAAAAGAAACAGAAGAAAAATGCCAATCAAATCTACAACATCAAATATTACGTGATATAATCGATATAACCAGTACGTGAGATATGCAAAACCCCAACCGAATGGCTCACTAATCTCTGTTTGTTCTTAAGTACTTCCACAGCCAAGCGTGAAAAACGTCTGTGCATGCTCCAAGTCCGTATGCAAATTAGTTGATTCACAAAAAGTCTATATAACGTCGTATTGTTGTAAAAGAATGCATGATTTGCCTTACAAACTTGCCTGGAAATCATTCTTTCGTGAGCAAGCTAACCAGTGATACATCCTCACTGCATACTCAGAGCCATAGCTGAGTTATGGGCGAAATCCGACGACTACTGAGGTGATGAGTTTGCAATGAGATCAGCGGTAGCGACCCCCACCAGGGGAGGAGAGAGTGGACGTAAAGACCCCCGGCTTTGGCGCTGTTGGACCAACTGTGAAAAATCCGACGCGGGTTTGGAGATATATAACCGGGGCCGCAAAGGACTTTCGTTAATTAATTATGCAGTGAGAATAGTATTTAGATCTTATTTTAAAAGACTGTTCATAGATTTTCGAGAATACTTTGGTTATCTGTTTACCATTGTTAATTTAGTGTCATTTAATTGATAAAATTTAATTTAATTTGATTTGATTTAAAAATGATTCATTTGTTTATTGATCAATATATCGTTATTCATTCGATTAATATTTTTATTGTCACTTAGTTTGTTGAAGGCATGCGTCGCTACGGCGCCATATCAGTCAGAATTGCGGATTCGATTCCCAGCTGCGCGCCACATACATGTGTTTTGAGTTTGTTTGATGTGTTGTCTCTCCCTTGCCACGAGGGTTTTTCGCCGGCTTTTGTCCAGTTTTACTTAATTAATCCGCAAAAATCAAAATGTCAGTCGGGTGTATCGAGTGTTGTAAACAATAATAAATCTAAATCCCAACGGAGGAGCCTCTTACTGAGAGTGATGGTTGTAAATATAAGTTTAAGTTTAACATCGTGTCCATGGTGTCCATACAATTGTCACAAATCCAGTTCGTTAGCAATAGCTCTTAAAGTCGAACCCCTAGCTTATAAATAAATTTATAAAACACTCAACAAAATTAGTCGATTCTGATTGGACAAGAGGAGTACAATTA